GCAAGGATGGTCGCAAACCGTATTGTATCAAGGATGAATGCGAACTGCACTATGTCGCATGGGTAGAAGAAAAGAGGACCACTACGAGGTCAAAATATTCATTTGTATTGTAACATATTGAAAAAAAAAAAAGGGAATATACTCACCAGGTTTATGTTTGCAGACGAGGAAAGCTATTGATTTCGTAAAAAATATCTGCAGAGAGATATAGAGTAGATGGTAGGGTTTTCGATATTGCAAATTTAGATGAATGAAAGATTTGATGTTGATGACGCTTTCTTTAGGTTTTTAATTATTTTTCAATTTACATATCTTTTAAATTAAAGATTAACATGTCATTATTTAATTGACGAGTCAGCATTTAAATTTGTTGAGTTGGCATTTTCTGTTAGCAACATTAACGGTGTTAAAATTAAAGGATCAAAAATACACTTTCTAAACTTAAAGGACTAAAATGAAACATCATGTAAACTTAAAGGACCAAAAGTATCCTTTAGCCATATAAAAAACTTCAGGCCATTTCCTCTTGCTCTTCAAAAAAACTATATTTTGATTTCCTCTTTATTTAAGGACACATATGCTTATTAATTAAGGATACAAGTTTTATGCGTAAAATGTAACTATAACATATCTTACACGGCTTTAAAGTAACACACAAACTAAAAATTTCACTTCACTTGTAATATGCCTTCAATTATTAATATCATCTCCTTGTCCACCCTTGCAATGTCAGTGTATGTTTGGATCAGTGTTTCTGGGCCCAAAACGTGCTTAAACCTGATCCAATCTTACTTATAGTTGAAATCCCCTGTTTGGATTAGCTTTTAGCTTATTTAGCTTATAAGTCAAAAGCCGCTGAAAAGCATAAGGTGGGGAGAGATGCTTATAACTTATGGATTTGTGCGTTTGCTTTGGTAAAAGGTCACGGAAACATTTATTGCAAATTTAATACCAAATTTGCCTTCTGGCTCTTCTCCCTCATACGTTGATTTTGTGCATTTTCAAATTTTTTAATAACACAATTTGCTGAAAAGTTATCATATGATAAATAACTTTTTTTTATTAACGGTTTTCTTAATATTTTATCATATGTAAACGTAATATACACACACGCATACGTGAACATATGTATTACTCCCTCCTATTCATATTATAAATTAATTTAAATTCATTGTATTATGTAAAATTATTTTTTTAAAATTATGTTTTATTATTTATTAAAACTCATACCCATTTTGGTAATTTTACAAACAAACTTACTTTTACTTAATCATAATCTAAACAACTTGTTACCAATCTTACTTTTACAAACTAACTTTTTTAAACTCCAATTCAAACACAATTCACTCTACCCAATCTTACTTTTCTAAAAGTCAGATTGGAAATAAGCTACTTTTTCCACTGCCATTCCAAATGAACCCTCAATCTAAAAGACTTGATGAGCAGACTGCAGACTTACTGAAACATACATTACATACCAAGGACCCGCATAAGACATTACTTAGCAAGAACCTGCATAATACATCACATAGTAAGAACCTGCATAATATGTAAATTTAACATAATTACAAGTGTATTACATCTCAAAATATTAAATTTGTAAAATCCAAAGCATGTCTTGGTGATTTTGTGTGTAAATATTTCTGATCAAAATAGAAATGTATAGTTCTAGAATATATTAAGAAAAGGGAAATATATAACATTTAAAAGAACTTGGTCAAAACTTAAAATAAGTTTGTTTCACTCACCACAATGCCAATTGGGTCTTTAACAACAGAAATGGTTCATCCTGATGACCAATATAATATAAAGTTTGTCTCTGATGTGATAGAGAAACCTAAAGTAAGAGTGACTAAAATTCTTGTTGAAGAAAATAGCACACATACTCTCCAAAAGGCCGTTGCAAATCCAACTCCCAACCCAAAGTAAAATGAAGATAGAAATTCATCTTTTTGACTGTCATTTCCTTTAACGGGTTCGCCATCTTGTTTGTTCGTGCAGTTCTTTGGAAGTGGAGCCCCACATAATTTAGAATTCCCAATATAGCTTTGTGCATCAAACCCTTGAAGTTGAGATCCTGATGGAATCTTCCCAGTGAAATTGTTGAAGGAGAGGTTCAAGGCCTCCAGAAAAGATAATGTAGCCATACTTGGAGGAATTTCACATGATAGTTGATTTCTTGAGAGATTAAGAGACTCCAAATTTTTTAATTTGCTGATCTCATTTGGTATGTTTCCGTCAAGTTGATTATGGGATAAGTTCAAAGATTGCAATCTAGTAAGGTTAAATATTTCTAGAGGTATTGATCCAGAGATACTATTAGTTGACAGATCAATAGCATACAAGAACTTCGAGTTTTTGTCAAACTTTGATTCTCGGTTTTTTGTATGCAATGCAACCTAGCATCGATTACATAAGTCAAGCCTGGAGTTCTAATGCAAAAGCTGTAAACCCCATTATTAGAAGAATTGGGGAAAGTCATGGCTATCGGATTTTGCAGACAAATAGGTAATGAACTTGATAATTTGTTGTCTTCAAATCCAATATTATAAGAGAAGCCAATTGACATATTTGGGGTGGTATACTTTCACTTAGTTGATTAGATCTTAGTAGAAGAATCTTTGCATTTTTCAGCATCCGATTCATTAAGAATCTGGATAATTTATTTTCACCTACATCAAGGACCTGCAACTTCGGGCAATTTACCAATGACGAAGGTATTTCTCCAAATAAATTATTCTTATTAAGATACAAAGAGCCAAGGTTAGACAACAAACTAATTGATGAGGGGATTGTGCCTATTAGATTATTTCCACCTAGGTTGACCAAAACCAGTGATTTCCAATGTATCCAACAATTTGTAAGCACTCCAGACAAAAAGATTATCAGACAGGTCCAAATACTATGATCGGCTTCTCCCATTCACTTTTTGACACAACAATAGAGAGATAGGTCCTAGGAAAGAGTTATGTGCTGCAGTGAACATCACAATATTTGGTGATAATCGAGGGAGTTTGCCTTGGAAGAAAAAGGGGAATCAAGTGTAAATAATGACAAAATAAACAAGATATATATCTAGTCTGAATGAAAACTCAAGAGTCAAGACTCTACTTAACTAATTAAGAAGTCAACACATTTTTTTTCTTGCCACAAAAACATTTAGATGAGTTGAGTCTCAAGGCTCATCATAGTTAGGACATCTCCTTTAAAAGTCCTTACAGAAATATTTTGTTACGTAAGTAATCGGTGGAACGTCAAATATAGTGCACAGACTAACAAATGATACGATGAAAAGTACTCTGTATATTCAACTGATAATTCTGATAGAAATGGCAGAGTTACAATAGCAAGGGAGAAGGACATGCAAAATGAACAGTAAGACGGACACCAGACAAGAGAGAGAGAAAGATGAGAGAGAGAATCACAGAGGAAGAGAGCAATCCGAAAATATTCCACACCCTCATCTAACCGAATTTGTCTTATTATATTGCCTCCGTTTCCTCGATTTCCCTCAACTTCCACGTTTTCCTTTTCACCCTTACACTACGTCTCACCGGTCTTTCTTCATCTCTTGGGCTTGGATCATCCGTGGTGGATGGGCTCATAACATTACCCCCTCCTTTAGAAATAACCTTGTCCTCAAGGTTGAAAAGAGGATAACGTGCATGCATGTCTGAAACATTCTCACAGGTGCGAGTATTTGAACTTGCCCAACGAACCAAGCATTGCTCAACACGGTCCGTGCCCTATTGCAACACATGAAAATCGTCAACCCCCAGAGGTTCATCCATAGGCCCCTCCGGTAGTGTACGAAGGGGTAGCGGCAAATACGAAACCCCAGTTTGATCACCTAAGAAAGGCTTCAGACTAGATACGTGAAACACTGGGTGAATACGAGCTGATGGGGGTAATTGTAGTTGATACGCTACTGCACCCACACGTCATTCAATCTGGAAGGGACCAAAGTAACGTAACGCTAATTTCTGAAACTTCCTCAGTTGTACCGAATGCTGACGGTATGGTTGCAACTTGACAAGTACCCAGTCACCCACTTGATATTCCCGGTCAACTCTCTTCATATCAGCAAAATGCTTCATCCTCTCTTGAGCCTTACGGAGGTTAGCTTTCAGAATTACCAGTACTTCATCCCGTTGTTCTAGTTGGCGGTAAACGTCAAATGGCGTATCTTCGAAGGATGAATGCGACAGCACTGGAGGAGGGTCCCTCCCGTAGACCACCTTGAAGGGTGTCATGCCCGTTGCGGAATGATAAGCCGTATTGTACCAGAATTCTGCCCATGGTAAGTAGGATAACCACTATCGGGGGTAGTCAAACACAAAGCACCGCAGGTATTGTTCCAAACACTTATTCAGAGCCTCTGACTGACCGTCCGATTAGGGGTGGTAGGCAGAGCTAAAACAGAGTTGGGCCCCCTGTAAACGCATCAGGTGCCGCCAAAAGGCGCTGGTAAACACCTTGTCTCTGTCCGACACAATGCTCTTCGGCATCCCATGTAACCGAATCACATGTTGAAGAAAGGCTTCTGCTACATGACTGGCACTGAAGTTCGCAGGCAAGGGAATGAAATGGCCGTATTTAGATAAACGATCGATGACCACCATTATCACGCTGAGTCCTTTAATAACGGGTAATGACGTGATAAAATCCATTGCGATGTCCTCCCAAATTTTGTCGGGAATAGGTAGCGGGTGAAGTAACCCAGCTGGGTGGAGCTGTGACGTCTTTACTTGCTGGCACACCCCACATCGTCGAATATAATCCTTGATGTCCAGCCGCATTCGCGGCCAAAAGAAAAGACTAGCCACTCGGTGGAAAGTACGAAGGAAACCAGAGTGTCCCCCAATAATGGAAGAATGAAAATAGTCCAGGAGTTTGGTGATTAACTCTGGTTGGTCCCACGGAACTACTAATCGACCTCTCCAGTACAAATGATCGTGCTTCAAATGGTACCCTCGTGACCGTACTGGTTCGGAGTTTAATTAAGACCGAATGGTTTGCAAAGCAGGGGATGTCACCGCACGCCGAAAAATCTCATTCATTAACTCATCCTGAATACTTACTAAGGTCATGCATGTGGCTCGTGACAATGCATCCGCAGCTTGGTTCTGTTTGCCCGGCTTGTATTCAATCGTGAAACGGTACCCTAACAATTTGGGAAGGCACGCTTCCTGTTCAGGGGTTTGAATGGTCTGTTCACCAATATGCTTCAGACTGGCATGATCCGTTCGAATCACGAAAGTGTGACTGAATAAATAATGTCGAAATTTCGCTACGGCCTCTGTGATCGCATATAATTCCCGCACATAAGTTGACTGTGCCTGTCGACGTGGAGATAGCTTCTTCGAAAAATAAGCTATGGGGTGGTTGCGTTGACTCAAGATGGCGCCAATGCCTATCCCTGACGCGTCCGTTTCTAGTACAAAAGGTTCAGCAAAATCAGGTAAAGCCAACAAAGGAGCTTGGACCAAAGCCTGTTTCAACTTGCTGAAGGCTTCGTGGGCTTCTGAATTCCAATGGAACCCATCTTTAGTTAATAACTGAGTCAATGGGCCTGCCAATTGGGCATATCCCTGAATAAACCGGCGATAGTACCCACTCAATCCGAGGAATCCCCTAAGCTGCGAGACTGTGGTCGGCGTCGGCCAGTCCTGAACTGCCTGCACCTTCGAAGGGTCCATCTCTACCCCCCTTGCTGATACAATGTGCCCCAAATATTCTATTCGTCGCTGACCGAACGCACATTTCGATCGCTTCTCAAACAGACGGTGCTTATGTAGTGTTGCTAACACCTCCCTAAGATGCGCCAAGTGCTGCTCCCAGGAGTTGCTATAGACCAATATGTCGTCGAAGAATATCAACACAAATTGTCTCAGGAATGGTTGGAAAATCGAATTCATCAATGCTTGGAAGGTTGCTGGGGCATTCGTTAGTCCGAAGGGCATCACCTTCCACTCATATAGGCCTTGATGGGTGCGGAAAGCTGTTTTTTCTATGTCCTCTTCATGCATCAGGATCTGGTGGTACCCGGATCGTAAGTCCAGCTTGGAATAAATGGCAGAGCCATGCAGTTCATCCAATAGTTCATCTACTATGGGCATGGGAAAAGCATCCTTGACCGTAGCATTGTTCAGAGCACGATAGTCTACGCAAAACCTCCAAGTACCATCTTTCTTTTTAACTAAAATCACCGGTGCGGAAAACGGGCTGTGACTATGTTGAATGAGTCCTTCATCCAGTAGTTCTGTCACTAGTCGTTCAATCTCTGCCTTCTGGGATACCGAGTAGCGATAGGGCCGAACCTTGATCGGTTTGACCCCTGGTAACAACTCTATTCGGTGTTTGTGTCCTCTGTCCGGGGGTAAGCCATTGGGCTTGTCAAAGATGGTTTTGAATTGCTCCAAGACTTCGTTCAAATCATCCGGAATGGTACTCTCCGATGTAGTGGCTGTTGCATGCACCGGTTTGAGCATGAAACATTCCGCAATCGAGTCCATACTACAGATTCGGGTTAAGTGATGCAACTGTGCTTGAATCACTGGTGGTCCTCGAAATCCCTTCAGGGTTACAAAACTGCCATTCTCGAGAAATTTGATGGTAGATGAGCTATAATCTGCAACGTGTGGTCCCAAGGTTTCCAACCAGTCTGCTCCCATGATCATATCCACTCCTACTACCAGCAGCACGTACATAGTAATGGCCAGAGTGTGCCCACAAATCTGTACCGGTACTTGTACTACTGTTTCATTGGTTCTGAGTATCCTGCCGAATCCCCCCAGCACGCGAATTTCCTTTGCTATCTCTATGGGCAGCTTAAGATGATGTACCATCCTGGGGTGTATGAACGTGTCCGAGCTTCCTCCATCTAACAGGATCTGCATGTTGGTTCCCAATATAGATCCATTAAAGCGAATCGTGGCAGGACCGTGTGTCCCTCTCAGTGCGTACAGGGATAAATGATGCAGGGTCACTTCTGCCTCTCCCTGTTCCTCCCCCACCATGTATTTAGAATCTTCATGCGCCTCCTCTTCCGACTGAAGCATCATTAATTGTTTATTCGGGCAACGGTGACTTGGAGAGAATTTTTCATCACAGGTGTAACATAATCCCTTCTCTCTTCTAATTTGCATCTCTGCTGGTGTGATTTTCTTGATAGGAGGCATATTCGGGGTAGGTAATAAGGGTGGCAAATTGGCTTTTCCCCCTGTGTAGTTCGTGGAGGTTCCTGTCGACGATGCGCTAAAATTCCTGGTTGAATTTCTCCCGGCGCCCGAGGTAGTCTTTGTTTTAGATGGTGTGAACCCGAAGACTGTCGCATCATGGAATAGTCTAGCCAGAGCCATGGCCTTGTGCACTATGGTGGGTCTTTGCACGAGCACATCTTTCTTCAGCTCAGGTTTTAACCCCCCCAGATAACAATCCAACAATGCGGCTTCCGGTATTTCCTGAGTTCTGTTGGATAAGGCGATAAACTTGTTATTATAATCTTCCAGTGGACCCTGATGTGTCAGTTTGAATAACTGACCCCGTGCACTGTCGAATTGCGAGGGTCCGAATTGCTCTTCAATAGCTTGCACCAGAGCATTCCAAATAGGCACCCGATGTGACCTTTCTAGCATCTGAAACCAAGGTAGAACTTCTCCATCGAAATGTATCGCGGCTATGATTAATCGCTGTGATTCCTGGATCTCATAATATTTAAAAAATCGCTCCGCCCTGAAAATCCAGTCCAGAGCATCCTTTCCGTCGAACCGGGGAAAATCTAGCTTCATTTGCCTTCCGGTGACCGTTGTAAAGGTGTGAACCGTCGGGTTTGCAGAGTGTTCATGAGTTGCCGATGGTTCGTGCATCGACGTCGACCCTGACCCAGCCTGATTCTTGTCTCGTTTCAGCTCATCCAAAGACTGTAATACTATCTCGAACAGACTTTCCATTCGCGCGAACTTACCCTTAGCTTCTTCCATGAACTCACTCGCTTTCTTCTGTTCGGCTTGTATCTCTTTCATTCGCGTATTCTCCGCCATGCTCTCAATGAAAGCACCAAATGTTACGTAAGTAATCGGTGGAACGTCAAATATAGTGCACAGACTAACAAATGATACGATGAAAAGTACTCTGTATATTCAACTGATAATTCTGATAGAAATGGCAGAGTTACAATAGCAAGGGAGAAGGACATGCAAAATGAACAGTAAGACGGACACCAGACAAGAGAGAGAGAAAGATGAGAGAGAGAGAGAATCACAGAGGAAGAGAGCAATCCGAAAATATTCCACACCCTCATCTAACCGAATTTGTCTTATTATATTGCCTCCGTTTCCTCGATTTCCCTCAACTTCCACGTTTTCCTTTTCACCCTTACACTACGTCTCACCGGTCTTTCTTCATCTCTTGGGCTTGGATCATCCGTGGTGGATGGGCTCATAACATATTTACAAATCACTTGCTAACAAACTGCTTATATTTAGTTATCATTATTTTGTGAGACATTTACGAAGGCGTGGGCGGTGAGGAAGGGCAAAATAGGCCGGATTCTATTTGAATGGGCTTGGGCTTTGGAGATGTACAATGAGGTATGGGGTGTTGTTTTTCCCGGCAAAAGATATTAAGCGCGTCGACTCCAAAACCGATATTATAATTGCGCATATAAAACGACACATAATTTATATATTCAATATATTTATATTCACCTTCAACATTCAAATTGTCAAAAACTATATATCCTGAACTAATTAATAATTCTCCGTCCGGTTTATTTTTTTGAGTAAAATACTTTGACTATCATTTTAGTTTTATACAAACCTCCCTTCTATTTTAAAAATATACAATTTAGTCCAGTTATTCAATACTATTAGGAATATTCTAAAAATATTATTTTTAACTGAAATTTATATTAAAATAAATTTTACTTACTATTTTACCCTTTATTCTGATAAATTCTTAAATTATATTTTTACAGTTACATGAATTTCATTCACTTAAGGCAAACATAAAAGACTTGATTAAAAATTTAACTAATTCTTTTAATAAATATATATATACACACACACACACACACACACTTTGTCTAAACATGTTTTTAAATTTTTGTAACAAAGATGTGTTTAAAAATTGAATTATAAATTTAAATAATTCATAAAATCTTTCAAACTTATATTATTTAAGCTTTATGATAAACAAAAACTATGTATTTGAAATATGTTCTTACAATTTAAAATCTTTCAAAATTAATAAATTTTATAACATATTAGAAATTTTAAAAATATACGTAATACAATTATTGTTGATTTTATAAAAAATATTTTTTTTGAAAAATATAAATGTCTAAATAATTACTAAGTTAAAAAAAAGGGGCATTTTGATAAAAAAATAATTTAAAGTTAAAGTTAACGGTTAACTAACAATTTAGATGAATTGGAATTGAATATTAAATATAAGAGGGAGGTTTGTGGAGCATACATTTATTATAAGGGAGGTTTATATATGTTTATAAAATAGAGGGGAGGTTTCTATAATTGAGATAAAATAGAAGGGTGGTCAGGGTATTTTACTCTCTCTTTTTTAACAGGACCATTTTAATCAATTTACAAGAATTAAGAAAATATTTTGAATCACTCTTCAGCAACGAATGTGTCAATAATTTTTGCACGGTCTTGGGATCAAGGGAGGAATGACAATAGATATAACCTGTGTGGAGAATTACAAATAATTGCAAGGGCATGTCTTGCAATTCCAAAACTCTTCACGCAACCGAAAAAACCTCAGAGACAATTTTGAAAATAGCCTGAGTTTCCTCTCTAACAAATTAAAGAACATCCAAAAAAAAATTCTGTGGATCTATCTCAAAATATTTTAACAAAGATTCGTATAGTTTTATTTGAAATTTACCAAACTAAAGACGAATTTAGAGACAGCTTTTTAAAATTAAAATAGAAAAATCCGTTGTTAAATCCGTTGTTAATAATTTTTCATCATCATTTTCCTCATTAAGAGCTTAATCGTTTATGAAAAAAAAAAATGGAATCAAACTTAAAACTTCCCACTAACGAAGAGTTTTCATGCTGTTGGCTACAAAGTCATTGAGCATATGAAAACTCTTTAAAATAGCCTGAAGATCCCATTCAATTCATTAACTGCATCATCGAATATCAGGATTCAGCAAACCCAGCAGTCATAATAATAGGGGAAAAAATGAAGCTACAGTGTGTGGTTCGAAGCACAAAAGGAAGAAATAATATGCTTGCATTAAGCGAAGGCAAATAATAATGGTGATGATGTGACAATATTTGCCTTGGTTTAGACCAAATTATTAATGTGGAATATCGTAAAGTGATGACGAGATCATATGAAAGCATTCTTATTCTTCCTTTTGCTGCCATTAATGGTTCATTTCGTACCACAAATTTATGGATTGAGTTTGGCCAATTCCATGCAAGGGCGTGCTGCGTGAAGATGCCATTATTGTTCAAATGAAGTTGGCAGTAAGAAAACAACATGTTGATCGCGGGACCCACCAGCTAATTAATAAGGAAATCTTCAATTAAAAACCTCCTTCTGAATGGATTCCTTTCCCCTCTAATTTCAGCTTCTGTCATTTTCCATTTTCGTTTCTCCACTTTTCTTCTGTATTTTGAACACCTGAGGATTGGCCAATCTTAGATATGAAGATCATTATGAAGAATTTGTGATAATTGTCGTGTTATTTTATTTGGGACATTGCAGCAAGACAAGAGCCAATTACAAGAGGGGGCAAAAAGCTTGTTTAGTACGCTAATAAACATTACTACTACTATTTCCCAAAGTTGTGTATAAATATCTGTCATTGCTGGTGATCCATCACTTCCCATCAAACCATATGCCTCTTTGAGTGAGAATGGATACCTCTCATTGTAATGAGAAAGAGACTATCTTCTCCTCCTGAGTCCGAAACTTCAAGCACACCATGGTTGATCCATCTGCCATCCTCTCTAGTTGGTCTTATATGAGCCAGATTATATTGTGGTGAATGAACTGGACTTCACCGGGACAACACCACTAATACTCTGATAGAGTCATTGAGCTTAGTCTCCCTCTATCTTCTGAAATTTAAAATTTTAAATCAGCCTTGTTTACTATATTTTAATAGCAATTGACTACACTTAAAAGGCAAATGACAATATATTTTTCTTTTCTCTTATGATTATTTTTTGGGACTAAAAGCACATAATTAATTTATAATATTTAAAATTTGCATATATAATTAAAGCCTTTAAAAATATTTCAATAAAACATTTTAGATTACAATATAAGTACCCTTTAAATAAATATTTTATATTTTCAGGATATAAATATTTATTTCTAAGATTTTGAAATATCTTAATTACAAGAAATATTTTATATTAAGTGATTACAAATTACCTTTTTGAGTTGGGATCCAACGTTAGCTTAAATAAATAAAACTAACATAAATTATAAGAACATAATATTAAATATTGTAATTAAAATATTTTATTAAAATATTTTTGAAGATTTTAGTTATATATATACAAATTTAAATACTATAACATTTTTATGTGTTTTTTGATCCTAAAAATAATCAAAAGAGGGAGTGATCACTTGGGGAGTAAAATAATCAATTTTTTACTTTAATTAAAGAGAGGCATTCTGGTCATTTAACAACATTAAAAAATCCTAAATTAGGACTCATGTCCTAATTGGGAATTTATTAAAAGTATAGGTTTTAATTTGAATTTAGGTATTTCAACTGTCTTTTATTGAGATTTTTTCACATATAATTAGTCAAAACTTATATCACAAGTTTTTTTTTCACCACGATTAGATCTTCAACAGAAACGGCTTGTCCGGAGGACCATTATGACATAAAGTTTATCTCTAATACGGTAGAGGAATATGAAATAAGAATGCCTGAAATTTCTGTTGAAGAAAATGGCAACACAAACTCCCTAGAACGCTGTGGCAAATTCACCTCCCAATCCAATGTAGAAGGAAGATAAACACTCATCTTCTTGACTGTCATTTCCTTCAAGGGTTACACATCTTGTTCGTCTCTGCAATTCCTTGGAAGTGGAGCTCCACAAAGTTCGTGTGTATGCTTCCAAACTTGGAAAACACTTACAGAAATATTTATAAATTACTCCAATAAAGTTCTCATAACTTTCATTTTGAATGCAGAGTTAATTAATGCTGCATCTCCATTTGAAGTTTCAACTATCAATTAATTTTTTCTTATTGTTTTCTGAAAATACTATCATTCATTACTTTTCGTGTTTGACGCTTCTTACTTCCTCTATTTTAATTGGTTTGTCTAATTCCAAAAACGAGATATTTTAATTGACTTGGCTTATTCCAAAAAAAAAGAAAAAGAATCACTTGTCTTCGCTCATTATTTTTCTTTTAGGTCTACTGAGTGCTGACCGCATGAAAATGTTAACTCTCCACCATGCTCTAGTTTTTTTTTTTTTTTGGGGGCTAAATCACCATGGCCTAGTTGATAGGGAAAAGTTTAAGGAAATTAAGTGAAAAGGAACACTAGGACTAAAAATTTTGTAATCATGCTCCATATTGATATTTCTAGAAATCACCTAATAGCAAAGTTGACTCCCTGCCACGTCCTGGAGATCAATCAATTTGTCATTTATTATTTTAGTTGTTATTTCAGCTTTTTAATTTGACATGTTGATTATAGCTACGTAATCTATTACTATGGTTCAACAAGCTATTGTTATGATAAATAAAATTTTGTAAGCATTCTATCACAAACTTTGAAGAATGGTTGCCAACATAAGCATATGGTTGGTAGATAATTAAAGGATCATTACATTTTGATCGAATTTTGATTTTAGTTTCTTGGTTTTAAATCATGATTTTTGGTCCCTATAATATCATATAGACTTAGTCTAAATTTAATGAAGTTAACTTTTAATCACTATAAGGACTAAAATCGAAACTTGTTAAAAGTACAAGGAATAGATGAGTTTTGGTTTTGGTGCATATACTTAATTGCATTAACTCAAACTTAGTCCTTATGAAACTACAAGAACCAAAAATCACAATTTAAAATTAGAGGGATGTAACCAAAACTAAAAGTCAATCAAACTATAAAAACCAAAAATAATGAGCTCTTAATATCAAACTTATCTGAAGTTGTATCTTGGCTCAATTGGGTTGTTTCTCTCCAACATTTTCTTCATCTTATCCTTACAATGGATAAAAGCTTGCTTCAATGAAATTATTTAAACTCATTCTAGTTCTATTTTAATTCAGTGTGGGCTTTGATATTATATGAAAATTATTAACCATGACACGAGTGCGCAGAATGATCAAATGGACAAAACAAATTTTCTTGACCCATCAAGAAGAGGGAACTGGACGTTGCGTTATTAGCTTCCTGAAAAAATCGGATTCTCTCCGCATTTTTTTTCCCAATACGTACATTTCTCCATGTGCAATTTATCCATCCCCATTTAATCATCAATTTAATTTGATGGTCATGCAATTATTACTATCACTTAATTGGCTTTGAAAACAATATCATAATATAATACTTTTTATGGTTGTAATTAAATAAATAATATATTTAATTTAACGCTACAATTAGTAACCTTAAATCATTAAACCAAATGGATAATTAAATGCAGAAATTGTGTGCACATAGAGGCGTCGACTTGTAAAACTTACAAAACGTCAAACTATATTTGTGAAATTTGTAACACAGCTTTCCATTCTTACATTATTTGTAGTGACTTTGACTCGAATAGTGAAGTCCTGGACGGGAAACTTACGCTGATTTATTAAATTGAAGCATAAAACACGACATATAATCAAGAACATAAATATATGATAAACCAAGACTTCATAAATTTTTAATTACCCTCAACCACCCTTTTGCTGTCTACTTTGAAAGAACGGTAGCATAATTTATTCATTAAATTATATATAAAAATATACGTTATGTAGAATTGTTTTCTCCTGTTTTTTCTTTGATTTTGTTAAATTTATTTGAGATTAGTGACTCCCCTACATTATGAGCCCACCTTGTTGACTAGTCAGACGGAGAAAAAGCTGATAAAATTAAGCAAATAAAGATAATGGGAAAGAGAATACTTGTTGACTTCGAGCCATCAATATTACTCATTACTCTTTAAAATATCCTTTTCCACGCCCCTGAGAATGGTCCTTATTTGACAGGTCAAGTCAATGTGTTTAGTGCTCGACAAACCAATATAATCCACTTTAATCCACATATATTGGATATAAGAACACCATGATACTGTGATATATACGTATATATATTATTCACATGTGTAACAAATCAAATAATTAAAAGTAGGAAAATAAAAAATGATTATCGAATGCTTTAGATATTACGGCATAAATAGTAAAATATACTACAAGCATAAATTGATGGCAACAAAAGCTGCAAGGATAAATTAAAAACATCAGCCAACAAATATCTTCCCTTTGCTGAAAATGTTCGTTCAAACAAAAAAGAAAAAAAGTCCTCTAGAGCCTTGGTTGAAGACACAAAGTTAGCGAAGATTTTGCGTAGAGATCAGCAAGCTAGGCTCAAAGAGACAGGAGTGTGTGGATAGCTGATCAACTTGAAAATAATAAATAAATAAAATTCACAACTCATCCTCCATAAATATCAGTGATCTCCTTCACCCACAAATGCAAAGCCGGTCTTGGGGTCCTTTTACTTCCTTATATATTATTTATCAAATCTAATCTATTCGATGTGATACTTTCCGGACAGTTCCGCAATCAACTCAAGTATACTCACATTTGAACATCCTAACAAGCTAAGAGTACAGCGTTAGTGTAAAATTAAAACAAAACGTTTAATTTGGGATTAAACGTGCGTCTAACAGTAAGGTATTAACTTTTACTCAAATAATGACGGCTCGTTGTTTTTTTTTTTTTTGGGCCAACGGTAATGGCTCAATTAAACATTAATATAAATGTCTGGCTTGAATTAGACATAGATCAAACCTTATCAAAGAGCGTAGTTCAAGAAGACCAAAACCCGGCCCTGACCGCCGGAGCAACATAATTTTTTTGTTACAAAAAATTTAGGTAAGTTGATTCTCAAAAGCTTAAAACAACATGAATTTTTCATCAGCACAAAAAAAAAAAAAGGAAAAGAAAATCATCCCAGGGCCCGCAGCGATGCCTTTCATTTTAAATGCTGTGTTAATAATCCCTCCGTCTTCTAACATAATTGTCCTTTTTTTTTTTATATAGGACCATTTTAATGAAAAAGGAGTCCTAATTAAATCTAACCGAAATACTCAAATCCAAATTCAGGCATATACTTTTAACAAATTCGTGACCAAGACATAAAGTCTCATTAAAAATTTTTGAATATTGTTAAATAACCAGAATGGCCCTCTTTAATAAAAAAATTGATTATTTTACCCTTCACAAGTGATCTCTCATCTCTTATAATTAATTTTTGACATCAACGACAACAAAGATATAAATAATTTTACAGTGTTTCAAATTTCTTCACACACACAAAATTTCAAACGCTAAAAATTATTTATATGTTTTTTGTCTATGTATTAATGATAAGAGAGGGATAAAATAATCAATTTTTATTTTTAATCAAAGAAAAATCAGCAAAGGTTACGGGGAATAACAGGACTTGATCGCAGTGCTTAATTTCCTTTAAAAGTGATAAATATAACAACTTTAGGCCATTTCCTTTTGCTTACTAAAAGAAATATTTTAATTTCGTCTTTATTTAAGGACACATACTTATTAAGGATACAAATTTTATGCAGAAAATGGAAATATATATATATTTATTACACGATTTTAAAGTAACACTCAAAACTAAGAACTTCACTTGTAATATGCCTTCAATAGCATCACATCGTCCTCCCTTGCAATGTTCAGTCTTAAACACTCTTGATGAGGACTTACTGAAACATGCATACGAAGTACCTGCAAAATATATAATCCAAAGCACGTCTTCTTGTTATAGTTATTTTGTGATGTAAATGTATGTCATCAGAATAGAAGATGAATGTATAAATATACAACATTTAAAAAACTTAGTCAAAACTTAAATCATAAGTTTGTTTCACTCACCACAATGCCAGGTAGGTATTTAACGACGGAAACAGTTCATCCTGAGGACCATTGTAACATAAAGTTCATCTCTGATGTAATAGAGGAATCTGAAGTAGGAATGCCTAACATTCCTATTAAAGAAAATAGCAACATTGACTCCCCAGAAAGCGGTGGCAAATCCAACTCCCAACCCAATGTAAAATGAAGGTAGAAATTCATCTCCTTGACTGTTATTTCCTTCAATGGGTTCCATGTCTTGTTGGTCTGTGCAGTTCTTTTGAAGTGGAGCTCCGCATAATTCAGAATTCCCAGCATAGCACTGTGGATCAAACCCTTGAAGTTGAGTCCCTGATGGGATCTTTCCAGAGAAATTGTTGAAGGAAAGGTTTAAGGTTCCCAGAAAAGTTAATTGAGCCAAACTTGGAGGAATTTCACCCGAAAGCCGATTGCTTGCGAGATCAAGAGACTCTAATTGTTTCAAGCCTCCAATCTCTCTCGGTATGTTCCCTTCAAACTGATTATGAGATAAATTCAAAAATTGCAATTGATTGAGGCTAAATAACCCTGGAGGTATTGTTCCAGACATATTATTACTCGAAAGATCAATAGCACGCACCAATTGCAAGTGTTTTTTGTAGATCAATCCTTGCCCTTTTGCATGCAACATGACACTGTCTACAAACACAAGAGTATCGCTTAGAGCCGTGAAGCAAAAGGAGGGCATGCGAGTAATTGAAGATGGAGGAAAAGCCATGGCCGTCATATTATGTAGGCATGTAGGTATTGAACCTGATATTTTATTGTCTGCAAGATCCAATATTGTGAGAGAGAACAATTGGCATATTCGTAACGGAATCGTTCCACTGAGTTGGTTAGATCTTAGGAGGAGAACCTTTACATTGTGCCCTATCCAATTTGGTATAGATCCCGAGAGTTTATTTTCCTCCAGATCAAGGATCTGTAGATTTTGACAATTTTTCAGCGAAAAAGGTATCTTTCCAAATAAGACATTTTTGTCGAGCTGCAAAATTGTAAGGTTAGACAGAAAACTCAATGATGGTGGAATTGTGCCTGTTAGATTATTGTTGCTGAGCTTAACAATAACCAATGACTTCCATTTCATCCAACAATCAGTCAATTCCCCAGATAAAGAATTATTGGATAAGTCTATATACCTTAACTGGCTGTTCCCATTCATTTTTTGGCACAACAGTGGAGAAAGGGATCCTTGAAAAGAGCTGTCACTTGCACTGAAAAGGACAACATTTGGTGATAATCGAGGGAGACCACTTTCAAATTTATTTGAATCTAAAATTATCCATCTGTTGTCTAGTAACACGTTTGACATGTCCCCCTTAACCCAGTTATCATGTAATTCTAGTTTTGCCAACTGGGTTGCAAAGCCCCAAAACTTGTCTTTAGGTTCAAATGAAATTCTTGAGGAGCCAATCTCTAAACTTATTAGGGAAGTTTGTGTATATATCCAAGGAGGAAGTTTAGGACCCGTCATGTTTGTCAAAATAAGTTCTTCAAGTTGAAATGGAGGAACCCAAAGGGAATGAAAGTCAAAGATTAAGCCGGGAGATCCCATGGAAAGGTACTCCAAATTCGAGAGATTGGCAAAAATTCTATCGGTCAAATGCCCCGTCAAATGATTATCACCCAAACTCAACAGCTCCAACTTCAAGAGCTGTCCGAGACTTTCTGGAACACTATCATTCAAGTAGTTTGAGCGAACATCCAAGACAATCAGGGATGACAGATTTCCCAGAGTTGACGGAATAGGACCACAAAACATATTTCCAGCGAAACCAAGTACTTGTAGATATTCAAGTTGGCCAAGCCAACCTGGAATCAATCCACTGAGTTTATTGTCTGTCAATAACAATTCTTTTATATTTCGAAGATTCAATAAACTCTTTGGGAGTTGGCCTTGAAAATGATTATAGCGCAAGTCGACAACTGTGAGATCACTAAGGTTAAATAACCAGTGAGGCAAGAATTGGGTGCTAAAAGCATTAAAAGGAAGGTCAAGAACTTCAAGGGAAGTAAAATTGACAAACGGGAGAGATGGATTGATGTTTCTTAGGGAACAACCGTCCAAGTGTAACTCTGTAAGCGATGGAAGGAGAGTTGCTAACTGGAGCCAATCTATTTCTTTCTGAAGATCAATGCCACCGAGGGAAAGATATTTCAGGGAGGAAACACGAGAAAGCCAGTGAATATTGTCAATATAAAGATTCTCATTTTCAGATAAATCGAGATAATGAAGATTGGAAGAATTTTCACATGAATGAGGATGATGAACAAAAGGCATGTTATCACAATTTGTCACATCCTCAGAACCTTTTTGAACGATAGCTTGGAAGTCATTGTTGCTCAAATCCAAGTAATTTAGAAACTCAAGTTGAAGCAATGATAGGTTGAGGTCACCTGTTAGACAGTGTGATTTCTCATCATCACAGCCATCAGGGGGGGAGGATTCTGGAGAACAAGGGAGACTAAGCTCAACGACTCTGCCGGTAGTGTTGTCGCACCGAACTCCGGCCCATTCACAGCAATCTCGCTCACGGGTCCAATCGGAGAGGATGGTCGAGGGATCAACAAGAGTGTGTTTGAAGTTTAAGAGAAGGTGGCGGTCTTTTTCGTTGCATTGCCCCCTCAAAGTGAACATGCCTTTGGGGAGCATGAACGCAGACATTAGGAAACATAGAAGCCAAAGATTAGCAATATAGCTATAGGAGAATGAGGTTTCCATGATCACTCACGGTGTATGGTTTGATGTGTGGGATGGATTTCCCCCAGTTGTAGCTATTTATAGGCCTAGATTTCACCTTTGATATTCTGTGGCGACTATTCTATTTATCTTCACTCATTTTTCTTGGTTCCTTTTATTCAGACGATACTGCCTTCTGTCCTAAATATAAGAGCTAGTTAGTCGTTCTAAATATAAGACATCAATTTACTTTGTCTCTCAAATTTATAATGTGTTCTCAAAAATACCCATTTGATTGTAAAATATTTCTACCTAAATATAGTTTCAATATACATGATTAAATAAGGATAATTTAAAGAAGTCAACACACATTTGTTACACATAACTAACTTGACTAAATTTTTTAATCTTTTTAAATTAATTATCTGGCCCTTATATTGAGCGTACTGAGCGCGCCGGAGGTGGTATCATAGATAGCTCTGAAGTAAAATAGACGCGTCTAAATTCTAGACCATTCGTGTCTGACGCTTCTTTTTAATTAGCGTGCTAACTAAGCTTTACTACTTGCTTTTTTCTGTTTGCCAACACTACTTGTTCTTTTTTAATTGGCTTGTGTTGGTTCATTATTTTCCAAGTCTACTACTGACTATTAGACAAAGTTTGCAAGCGTGACGCCGCCCTGCTGACTCACCACGTACTAATTGACAGGGAATATGTTAAGGAAATTAACCATATGAAGATAGTGAGAAACAAAGACTTGGATTGATAAATATAGAGAGATCCACCTTTCCTAATTATAATTATCAAAAGTCTTATGAGAAGTGAGTTGTAAACAATAACAAGTTTGAGTGCAAAAAATGATAATAGGTCCATGATACTCACTTATTATTAAAAAACTTTTATGATTAAATATATACAATGGACACAATAGTCATGTTTGGTAAGAATTATGCATCGCATTTTCAATTTTAATATCTTCACAGACAAATAAACTTAAATGACTCTACGGAGATCGTTTTGTCAGAATAAAACTCATATCATTTTTAACTTTTTATTTCTTTCTTTTTTAGGGGGTGTATATTGGAATTGTTTTGTGAATTAGTATTAATTTATTGACCATATTTTATTTATATATTGAACTCATTGCATATTAAGTAATTATTTATGTACTTTAATCAATTGGAACTGGATCAAGTTGAATAGACCGTAATAGGTCTGAATATTCAACTAAGTATTTTTTTTTAAAAGTATCTCTTATTTAAGTTTGATATGCAGAAATTTGACATCGTCACAATTACACACACACACACACACGTGTGTGTGTGTGTGTGTTGCCCAAGGCTTTATGAAAATGAATGACACTTGGCTCCATTGGATTGTTATTCTCTCCAACATCTTCTTCATCTTATGCTTCCAAGGCATTAAAGCTTGCTTCAAGGTAATTATATTTCAATTTATTCTAGATCTATTTTAATTCAGTGTGCGTAGTTTTTTATATTATATGAAAATTATTGGTAAAAACCATGGCACAGGTGGCGTAGAATGATCAACATAACAAAACAAATTGAATATGTAGCTTTTCATTCTTATCCATGCAGTGACTTTGACTCAAACAATGAAGTTCGAGGAAGTGAAGCTTACGCTAGTTAAATTATTGAAGCATAAAATATGACAAGTAATCAACTACGTAAATATATGATGATAAACCAAGAGTTCATATTTTTTTAAATTATCATCAACTTCCCTTTTGCTATACATTACAAAAGACAGTTTAGATAATCTATTCATTAAATTAAATATAAAAAATACATTAGCTAGAATTATATTCACGTGTTTGTTTTAATTTTCTTAAATTTATTTGAGATTAGGGGACCTCCCTCACGTTGATATGATCCCACCTGGATGAATAGCCAGATGGAGAAAAAGCAGAGAAAATTAAGCAAATAAATGTAGTTGGAAACTATATACTCTTTTCCATTATGCTTACTTTCAATTCAAATTTAATTCAAGAAAACAATGTTTTCATCGCAGCTGTTTCTCACAAAATCAAGATAAAGAAAAGTCCTCTCAGCAATTTTCGCATTTTCTTCTAGTGATGTTTTCTCTTCATTTTCATTCAAGTTCTCTCAAATTAATCAACCAAACCAACTTAACAATGTAATAAAACAAATTAAAGATAGGATTAATTTGAAGAAATATAACAAATAAAACAAAAATAAAACTTCAATTTCAAACCAATTCAATGAATAAAGATTCTTAAAGATAAAACTTTTGAGTCCAAAACGGAAACACAAATGATATCTATTTACAATGAAATTTTAAACAACACTTTATCATCAATCAAAATTCATAAAAAAAAAATTTACAAAACACTGAACAGATTATTTATTACTAAATTCTCAAATTTATTTAAAAAATACCAAAAATCCAAAATAAATATCAAAAAATTATTAAAAAGAATAAAAAACTTCAAAACTAATCAACTTCAAACATTTAAACATATTTCTAATACCGTATATAGAAAGGAATTGAGATTTTTTCATATCAAATGCTACCAATCAACACCTCAAGCACATAAAAAACGCAAAATCAACAATGCAAGACAACCACAATGTAAAACTAACAAACCCATTTGAAATATAATAGATTTTTATGGTCAAAACTTGCAAGAAACCAAGAAAAATTGAAAAGAATGAAAGAAGAGGATACTCACTCAGTAGAGACGATTCAAATGCAAGAAGATGGGCGTTGAAATGCGGTGGGCGGCGGCAAGACACCACAAGCTAAATGGAGTAGTTTAAATAGCAGGAAAGAGGGGGTAATGGCAGTTTGTTGGTGGTGGGACAGAGGGGGACCACGGCGCACTGATATGAAACTGTAAAAATGAGTAAAACTGAACCCTATCGCGGTTTATGTTAAAGCTTTTCACTGCGGTTATTAAGAAAACCGCCGTAAAAAGTGAAGCGTCAATTCACTTATTTACAAAAATGCCACCACGTTTTTTTTCATGGCGTTTTTCTTCTTAACTATTGTTATTTTACGTCGTTAAATGTCTTTTTTCTAGTAGTGGGAGTAGTCACATCATCCTCATACATGAGTTGTGTGCATAATCAATCACTTGTGGACTTAAAATATCAAATTTTGGTTAAATGTACAATCAATATACACAATGATTTGATGTCTTTGTGATGCACATGTAGAATTTAGAAGTCGTCACAGCGTCCTTACTTGTACATGCATTCTAAATTGTTTTAATAGACAAATCATTACATAAAGATTTAAAAACATCATTTATAATTAAATATGTGGTTATAATTAATCTTTGCTCACATGTAGATAATTATAATTACATATTTAAGTATAAGCTGGTTGTCCAGTGTAGGACCCCAAACTGGATCCTTATTAACGTCCATGTGACTCTTATTGTCTCTATATTCCGGGGTGGTATTATTATTATGCATCAATTTACTTTTAAAATATCAAAAAGAAGCTGAATTATTGGCGCAGCCAAGTATTTCTCATGCATATGGATAAAGAATGGTGAACCTAACAATTGTGAAGCTATAGAGGATGTTTGGATTATACTTTAAAAGCACTCTTAAGCAGAACAAAAATTTTGTATCCTTACTTTAGAAAATTCCACAGGGTTGAGAAGTGAGGGAAAGGACACGAGGGAGTTCATGGGGTGAGGTATTTAAAATTGGGAGTTGGGTGACTTTGTGTCCCTCACAAGTCTCATTAAATTTAGCAAAATGGGTTAATTTCTTACAGACGTGATGAATTCATATTCGAATCACCGTTGATAGACGTGCTCAATACATGATAACATTTTAAACTAGATTACCTTCAATTGTATATGGGAATAGAAGGACTGGTTGAGGCAGTATTATAATTCAACAAAATATAGTTATTAAAATTTAAATATGATAATATTCCTCCGGTTCTAAATATAAGATATTTTTTGTAGTGTGTATAAGGGTGTTATATTAGAATCAGAAAAATAAAATTTATTTTATAATGTAATTAAATATATATTTAGAATCAGATGAATATAATTTTAGGCTTGATAATGGAAAGAGAGAGAAAGAAAGGGGGGAGGGGGAGATCAAACTTGATGGACGAATCGGTAAGTCTTAATTGAATGGGGGGTGTTGGATATTAATTCTACAGTGCTGCGGGGTGGGTACAGGGGATTGGGTAAATTGAATGGGGTATCTTTGTCCATTAGTATGTTGGCATCATCAATATAACTACTAAATAAAAATCAAAGGCAAGCCAAGCCATTCACAAATTCACTTCGGCTCTACTCTGTTTTTACTGTTCTATAAACAGTAATGATACAACTCTATGAATAGTACCAGCTTGTTTGTGGCTTCGCGTCTCTTTTCTCTTGAGCGGGAAGACTTAAGTTTTAAATTTTGAAATTTCCCTCTCATTATCACTTCTCTCTCTATATTCTTTCCTTTTTAAAGTTTGCTTTTCTTCTCATACACTCTTCTATGCTTCCTGAGCTTTCTCTGTTACTCTTCACTTTTCTCAGCCTCATTGAGTTTGTCATTGCTGTTGGAACTCCTCATCGATCTAACCTAGAATATCACTACGCTAAGTTCAAAGGTAGGATTTCTCTTCACCTTCTTCATTTTTTTTTTTACTCCGGTTCTCTTTATCTTCTATTTCATCTTTATTGATGTAAAGCATGTTGTTTAAGTGAGTTTGAAGGCGTTTGGCCGATTCAATTGTGTATAAGATCTTTGATCATTGGGTTTTATTTTGTTGCTTTCATGACCATCCTTTTGGAGAATGGCACTAACAATTTTTTTAAAAAAAAGCTTTTATAGGTTTTTCATAAGGAAAGGTTATTTCTAGCTTCTATACATAGTATATTATCCTATGTGCAAGATTAATTTATTTTTTTTATGCAAATACAAAAAGCACACTGGTAAATAAATCTTAAGCTTTTGCATAAAAGTGCAATCGCTTAGTAAAATGCTATTCTAAAATAAAATTTTTGGAAAAGAAATGAAATTATAAGGTTAAGAAA